CAGCTACTCAGGAGGCTGAGGAGGGAGGGTCATTGATCTCAGGAGTTGAAGGCTGCAGTGAGTTTGATTCTGCCTCAGCATTCCTGCCTAGGTGACAGAGCAAGACCCTGTCTCTGTAAACAAAGTAAATGACCAATAAAAAATAAATTTTAAAAAGCAGCAATTATGGACATAGTTCTATTTGTATAAATATAGAGAAAAAGATCTAAAAGAATGCTCACTAGAATATTGATGAATCGGCAAATCGTCTCCGGTTATGGGATTTAGAAATATTTGTATTTTCTTATGCATTTCAATGTTTGAATTTCCTTGCCTTTGTAAAAATAAAAAAAGTTTATGCCAAGTCCCATTTGAAGAATCACAACGGCCGGGTGCGGTGGCTCAGGCCTGTAATCACAGCACTTTGGGAGGCCGAGGCGAGTAGATCACGAGGTCAAGAGATCGAGACCATCCTGGTCAACATGGTGAAACCCCGTCTCCACTAAAAATACAAAAAATTAGCTGGGCATGGTGGCACATGCCTGTAATCCCAGCTACTCAGGAGGCTGAGGCAGGAGAATTGCCTGAACTCAGAAGGCAAAGGTTGCGGTGAGCCAAGATCGCGCCATTGCACTCCAGCCTGGGTAACAAAAGGGAAACTCCGTCTCAAAAAAAAAAAAAAAAAAAGAATCACAACACAGATCTCTAAGGTTCTGGAGCAAGGTCATGCCATCTGCAGTGCATACTCAAATCCTTTTGGTAAAACAGTTTCTGGCCTTTTCTAAGTGGCTGTTGAAGATGATGAAAGGGCAGGTTCTGGTGATCGGATGGCCTAGGCCTCTCCTGAGTTGCCTGGTGGTCATAACAGCCAAGCAGGTACCACTGGGCAGGAAGGTGGTGGTCCTATACTGCAAGGATATCAGCATTTTCATCAACTTCTGTAGAAACAAGTTTCAGTATTTAACCTTCCATAAGACTGTAAGCATCAACTCTCTCTTTAGCCCCTACCACTTCTGGGTCTCTTCTACTTTTGGGTACTTACCTGCATCTTTTGGCTGAACCATGAGGGGCATATTGCCCTATAAGACCAAGTGAGGCCTAGATACCTTGGACCATATCAAGGTATTTGATGGGATCCACACCCCCTGTGCCCTGCCCTTTGCAAAAGTGGATGGTGATTTCTACTCTACTCAAGGTTGTGCACCTGAAGCCCACACAGAAGTCTGCCTAAGCTACTATTGGTGCAATAAGCACATGGTAAGGGTAGCCATAGGTGCAGAGATGGAGGTTACACATGGGCCTAATAGCATGGCTCCCAATTAACAAGGCTGATCTAGCTACCGCCACTGTCAAATGTCCAATTTGTCAGCAATAGAGGCCAAAGCTTGGTCCCCAATGTGGCACCATTCCTGCAGCAGACCTACCAGCTACTTAGTGGCAAGTTGTATACACAGGACCCATTCCATCCTGGAAGTAGTATCAATTTATCTTTACTGGAATTTAAATGTATTCCAAGTGGGATCTCCTGCCTGAAGGGTCTCAGATAGTACCACTGAGGGCTTAAAGTGTTTGATGCAGCATTGGGCACAGGACCATGGGCTCCACTGGTCCTACCATATACTACACCACCTAAAAACTGCTACTGATTGAGTACTGGGATGACCTGTTAAAGGTTCAGCTGGGGTGCTAGCTTGCAAAGGATACCCTGTAGGAGGCACCATACCCCAGGACTCAGTGCACTCTAAATTGATGTTCATTGTATGGTATTGGGGTCCCAACAATGAGAATGCAAGAGTCTAGGAGCTAAAGAGTGGAAGTAGGAATATTTCCGTGTACTATGATTCCCAGGGATTCGCTTAGGGAAGTTGTACCTTTTTTCTCTATAAGTTAAGAGATTTTGGCTACCAGAGAGAAAATGTTTTCACTAGTAGACACAGGAAGAGTCCCATTAAACTACAGCTGCTCCCTGGTCATTTTAGTCTTCTCATTCCAAGAAACCAGCAGACAAGGGGAGGAGTCACCATTCTGGTAAGGGTAATTGATATTGATTTAAGTAAGGCAGCTGTCCCACAAAAGGGATAGTAAAGAATATCTTTGATACCCAAGTGACCCATTTGTGTTTTTCTTGTTTTTTGCTTGCACAATTTACGATGTCCATGGAAAAGTGCAGCAGCTACAACCTGAGAAAAACAGCAATGAAGAATTTGGGCCCCTCAATGAAGAAGGTTTGAATAATTCTACTAGGTAAGCTACCGTCTTAGTGCATTTCTGCCTATAAGAGAAAGTTATTTCTTGTAGTTCTGTAGCCTATAAAATCCAAGATCAAGGTATAAGCAAATTTAGTGTTTAGTGAAGGCCCACTTCCTGGTGCCTTCTTGCTGTGTCTTCACATGGTGGGAGAGGCAAGGCAGCTGTCTGGGATCTCTTTTATAAGACACTAATTCCATTCATGAGAGCTATGACTTCAAGACCTAATTACTTCCAAATCACCCACCTCCTAACACTATCACATTGGTGACTAGTTTCAACATACAAATTCTGGGGATACTCAAATATTCAGTCCATAGCAGTTACCTAGACCAGCAGAGAGGGGAATCTAGAATGGGTAGTGAAGGAAGGAGATGATCAGCATCAATTATGGCCCCAACCTAATCAAACTCCACAGATTCTGCACAGCAAAAGAAACAGTCATTAGGGTGAATCGGCAACCAACAGAATGGAAAAAAATTTTTGTAGTTTACCCATCTGACAAAGGGCTGATATCCAGAATTTACAAAGAACTAAAACAGATTTACAAGAAAAAACAAGCCCATTCAAAAGTGGGCAAAGGATATGAACAGACACTTTACAAAAGAAGACATATATGAGGCCAACAAACACATGAAAAAATGCTCATCATCACTGGTCATTAGAGAAATGCAAATCAAAACTATATTGAGATACCATCTCACACCAGTTAGAATGGCGATCATTAAAAAATCTGGAGACAGGCCGGGCACGGTGGCTCAAGCCTGTAATCCCAGCACTTTGGGAGGCCGAGGCGGGTGGATCACAAGGTCAAGAGATCGAGACCATCCTGATCAACATGGTAAAACCCCGTATCTACTAAAAATACAAAAAATTAGCTGGGTATGGTAGCACGTGCCTGTAATCCCAGCTATTCAGGAGGCTGAGGCAGGAGAATTGCCTGAACCCAGGAGGCGGAGGTTACAGTGAGCCGAGATCACGTCATTGCACTCCAGCCACAAGAGCGAAACTCCGTCTCAAAAAAAAAAAAAAAAAAAATCTGGAGACAACAGATGCTGGAGAGGATGTGGAGAAATAGGAACACTTTTACACTGTTGGTGGGAGTGTAAATTAGTTCAACCATTGTGGAAGACAGTGTGGCAATTCCTCAAGGACCTAGAAATAGAAATTCCATTTGACCCAGCAATCCCATTACTGGGTATATATCCAAAGGATTATAAATTGCTCTACTATAAGGACACATGCACATGAATGGTCATTGCAGCACAGTTTACAATAGCAAAGACCTGGAACCAACCCAAATGCCCATCGATTATAGACTGGATAGGGAAAATGTGGCACATATATACCATGGAATATTATGCATCCATCAAAAACAATGAGTTCGTGTCCTTGCAGGGACATGAATGAACCTGGAAACCATCATTCTCCGCAAACTGACACAGGAACAGAAAATCAAACACTGCATGTTCTCACACATAGGCAGGTGTTGAACAATGAGAAGACATGGACACAGGGAGGGGAGCATCACACACTGGGGTCTGTCATGGGGAAATAAGGGAGGGACAGCAGGCGGTGGGGAGTTGGAGAGATAGCATGGGGAGAAATGCCAGATATAGGTGAAGGGGAGGAAGGCAGCAAATCACACTGCCATGTGTGTACCTATGCAACAATCTTGCATGTTCTTCACATGTACCCCAAAACCTAAAATGCAATAAAAATAAAATAAAATAAATTATGGCCCCAGGAGCACTTTTCAAGGCTGTAATTAATCCCACCAACCTTCTTCTACTAAATTTATTGGAAGCCCAACAGAACTTTGTAAGAGCTGCTTCTAGATCTTACATTTAGAGAGGTAGACAGTAGTAGATATCATGCCTGGTTTACAGTAGATTTCCCCGAGTCCAGGACTGAAGCAGTCATTCCACCAAATGCTGAAAGTGTTCAAGGCTGACAACTCTCAACTGAATCCTTCACCAGGACTTACCCTCTGCTGAAGAGGGCCTCCTCACCTGTCTATGTGCAGCCAAAATGATTGGTCAACAAGATGGCATAAAGTCTTCAGAGTTCCCTATAGGAATGGCTGAGGCCTCTGTTGGACTTCACTGTATGTCAACTTCTTCCTTTGCCTAAGCCTGCCTTCTTTACTCTCTCTCTAGGTGGATCCTAAGAGCACCTCCCAGTGAAATTTCTGCACCCTAATATTTAATGTCAAAGTGTTTTCCAGGGAATTTGACCTGTGACATTCCTTTCCCCACATATCCCTTAACTGCCAAGACCCTTACTATTGCAAATTTTTAAAAAACCGAAATGCTTAAATAATGAAGGGGACTTATTGGCTCACATAACTAGTCTGGTACCAGAATTTATTTGATCAGTGGCTTACTCATTTCAACAAAAAACTAGTTTTGCTCCACCTCTTTGCTAGGCCTTCCACAGAGGCAGCATTCTTCCAAAGCTAGGCTAGTTCATGATAAAAGAGTAGCTGCAGTAATTCCAGGTTTAAATTCTCACCTCTCATCATCCAAACAGGAATAGAGCAAGCTTTTAGTAGCTTTATCTGAAGAACAAGAAAGTCTTTCTCAGAGTCACTAGCTCTTCAAGTATTACTAATGCAAATTGACCAAAGGAATGTTTGGGTTTCCTAAACTATCCACTGTAGCAAAAAGTGTAGGATTACCTTGAATGGTCTAAAATAGTCAGGAATGATTCCTGGAATTGGTGTCATGTTTTAATCCTTACCCCCCACAATCACATGACTAGTACACAAGGGGTTAGAATGGAAGGGATGTTGTGGAGGCAAACTTTATTGGTTTGCTAGGGCTGCCATAAAAAAAAAATCACAAACTGGTAGGGTTCAACAAACAGAAATTTACTTTCTCATAGTTCTGGAGGCTTGAAGTCCAAAATCAAGATGTTGGCCAGACTGCTCCTTCTGAAGACTCTCTACTTAACTTGTAGATGGTTGTCTTGTCTCTGTTTTTATGTGGTCTTCCTTCTGTGTGCACACATCTGTGTCTGTATCCGCTTTTCCTATAAGGACATCGGTCATATTAGATTGAGGCCTGCCCTAAAGACTTCATTTTAGAACAATCACCTCTTTAAAGACCTGATCTCCACATATGGTTACGTTCTCAGTTACTGGGAATCAGGACTTCAACACATGAATTTCAGGGGACACATTTCAGCCCATAATGCGAAACCAACATCGGCATCAATGACGTATTAATTATGTTCACCTGTTTGACTGTTGCACTAAATTGTAATTTCTTTAAGGGCAGGGACAACATGCCTAGGATAGAGACCAGTACACAGCAGGTACTCAATATGAGATAATTGCTTGCTGAGGACTATAAAGAGTTCATTGTAGGCTGGGTGCAGTAGCTCATGCCTGTAATCCCAGCACTTTGAGAGGCCGAGGCAGGCGGATCATCTGAAGTCAGGAGTTTGAGACCAGACTAGCTAACATGGCAAAACCCTGTCTCTACTAAAGATAGAAAAAGTAGCCAGGCGTGGTGGTGTATGCCTATAGTCCCAGCTATTCTGGAGGCTGAGTCAGGGAAAATTGCTTGAACCTGGGAGGCAAAGGAGGTGGCAGTGAGCCGAGATTGCCTCACTGCCCTCCAGCCTGGGTGACAGAGGGAGACTTCATCTCAAAAACAAACAAAAAAAAGAGTTCATTGTATTTGGCACATATGAGGTCACAGTGACTTTTTCCAGATCAGACTTGACAATATTAAAATTAAAACCTTCTTATAACAAAAGCTACCATAAGCAAAGTCCAAAGATCATTATGAAAAAAAAAATAGTACCTGCACATATGGAACACCAGGAGTTAACAGTTGTAATATACAAGGGATCATATAGACAGATCAGAAAAGGATAAAAACTCAATACAAAAATACGACAATAACTATAAACAGTCCAAAATCATATGAAAGGAATTCAACTCCACTAGTAGTCAGCAAAAAGCTAATTGAAACAACAGAGAGCTAGCATTTAATGCCTATCAGACTGACAAAAATTTAAGATTTATGCATTAGCCCTGGCAAGAGCATGGGAAATGGGTTTCTTCTACATTTAGATTGGAGTATGAACTAAAATAATTCTAGAGGTAAAGATAATCTGGCAGTGTGTCAGTCATAACTGCATTAGCTATAAGTAACTGCAAACCCAACTCAAACAGTTATTTATTAAGCCACATAACTCAAAGTCTAGACACAGCTGTATTTAGTTTACCTAAATGGTATCATTAAAACCTAGTTGCTTTTCATGTCTTACTTTTGTCCTCTGAGGAGAAGTCATTCTCAGAAAGGGTATCTCTTTGTGAAGGGAGCTTACATATTTACATTGACAAGTCCAGCACAGAACAAATGTCTTTGATCTAATTCTGCTTGGCTTGAACTGAATCACATACCCATCGCTGAACTACAGATCATTAAAACTAATGAGTTACTATATTCTTTTTTTTTTTTTTAAGATGGAGTTGCACTCTTGTTGCCCAGGCTGGAGTGCAATGGTGTGATCTTGGTTCACCACAATCTCTGCCTCCCAGGTTCAAGTGATTCTGCCTCAGCTTTTTGAGTAGCTGAGATTACACGCATGCACCACCATGCCCAGCTAATTTTTTGTATTTTAAGTAGAGACAGGGTTTCTCCATGTTGGTCGGGCTAGTCTCAAACTCCTGACCGTAGGTGATCTACCCACCTCAGCCTCCCAAACTGCTGGGATTACAGGTGTGAGCCACCACACCCAGCCAGGGTACTATATTCTGAATTAGCCAGTCCTGGAACGGAGGACCCCATTCCATTTGTAACCCACAGATTAAGAGAGGAAGAAGACTGATTCATCTAAGGAAAACTTACCAAAAAACCCCAACAAAACAACAAAACATAAAGCCCCACACCCCTTTACAGGCAGTATCTATTAAAATACATTTTTTAAAGCACATATGTATAGTTTTAACAATCTCACTTTTAGGATCAATTTATACAAAAATGCATAATTTTTAAAAGATATACATATAAGGATTTTTATTCTAGCATCACTTGTAATTACACAAAATCTGGAGAAATCTATACTATCTATCAATAGAAAAGCTTCAAAAATTATGGTAGAAGAGGCCAAGTGTGTGGCTCACATCTGTAACCCCAGTGCTTTGAGAGGCTGAGGCAGGAGGATCACTTGAGGATCCAGGAGCTGGAAACCAGCCTGGGCAACATAGCAAGACCCTGTTTCTACTAAAAATTTACAAAAAAATTAGCCAGGCATGGTGGCTCATGTCTGCAGTCTAAGCTACTGGCAAAGCTGAGGCAGGAGGATCACTTGAGTCTACGAATTTGAGGTTGCAGTCAGCTATGATCACACCTGGATGATGATAGAGCAAGATTTCAAAAAAGTAATTATGGTCCATTAATACTATATAATATTATGCAGCTAGTTAAAATAATGGTCTAAATATTTATAATTAACTGTTGAGTTAGAAAAAGTTGCAGAAAAACTATATAGTGTGATTATTTGTCAAGATAAAAATAAAAACCACCTATGTGTTTCTAAAACACATTAGAAAAAATATTGAGAGAAACATCAATATTTTACATTGGTTTTGTCTAGGACTGGGATAAAGAGAAGAAAATGATCTTTTTCTTTATATACTTCTGAATAAATTCTATATAGTTCTGTATTGTTACAATTGTTAAAATGAATGCTTATTACCTTTTAAAAAGAGTAAACAGAAACTGAAATGAAGAAGTAGTCTTATAATTTAAATTGTTTTAAAACCTGGAGCAAAGAGACATAAGTTAGCTTTCAGTAAAGGAGGCATTAAACATATCGAAGACAAACTAACTCATGGATCCACATCCTGAGGGATAGAAGGGATTTGTTTCAGAGCAGAGTCCCAAATGTACTAGGGCTGTGATGGCTTCACTGTTCCACAGGGAAATGTAAACAAACAGAATAGTATTTCATAAAATTTAGTTTTTTGGGTGAAAATGCATTTAAGAAGTCATGGCGACAAAAGATGGAAAGACTTCACAAATATATACTGTTACTTGTCAAGATTAAAAAGTTACCAGCCCTATATCTGTTTTCAAACTGTGAGAAATGTGAATGGCCTATAAATCCCAACATCTGAAAAAAACAGATCTATGGCACAAGTAGAAAGCTAAGCCATACCTAGAATTCCATTACTGGAACACTAAGCATGTACGAGTTATTTATACCCTACTGCTAGAGGTCATCACTGAGGTCTGACTGCAAAAATTCAAAAAATTGCAACCTCAGGTATAAATGTGTTAAACAAGAGAACAGAAAATTCTTCTGTGATAGAGGAAAACAAGTATGCATGGATGTACACAGTTCTAGATAGACTTTGTCGGTAAAGGGAAAGAAGTTGAAGAGTTTCTCTCTTATAATGACTGTGGTGAGATCGTTTGCTGGGTTCAGGGTTAAGGAGCTCAGCAGGAGTGATTGTGAGGTTGAGACTTGAGGGGAACAATAAACATGTAGAAGAGGTGCTATCGGGAATGAAAGACCAATCTGAGTGTGTACCAGTCTTCAAATTTGGAATAATACCTGCCTGAATTTGGTTTGGGTTACCTGTTCTTTAATGAAATTGTCTTTGGTCCCTGTATTAGGGTTCTCTAGAGAGAGTTCTTCCTGTCTCAAAAAAAAGTATTTTACATTAATACTAAGTAATATATTCATTACTTATTTATAAGTAATGACACAGTATGTATTTTTTATACAAACGAAAACCGCTACGTGTTTTAAAACATTAGAAAAAGTATTGAGAGAAACTTCAATCTATTAACAGTGGGATAGGGAGAAGAAAACAATATTTTTCTTTACATACTTCTGAGCATATTTTACATACTTCTGTGTTGTTTGAATTGTTAAAACGAATGCTTATTACCTTTTAAAAAAAAGTAAATGGAAACTGAAATGAAGTAGTAGACTGCAGCAAAGATAACTATTACGATATATAGATATATGACAGGGGATTTATTAGGGGAATTGGCTCATGTGATTACGGAAGATGAGAAGTCCCACAACAGGCTGTTTGCAAGCTGGAGACGCTGGTATGCTGGGAGTGTGGCTCAGTCCAAATCTGAAGACAGGATGGTGGGGGTGCTGGTGTTAAGTACTGGAGTCCAAAGGCCACATAGCCCAGTGTTTTGATGTTCAAGGGCAGGAGAAGAGTGTATCCCAGTTCCAGAAGAGAGAGGCTGTTTTTGTTCCTCTCTGGCTCCCAGCTGATTGGATAGTGCCTGCCCAAATTGAGGGCGGATCTTCCCCTTTTAGTCCACTCAGACTCACATGCCAATCTCCTCTGTGAGCACCCTCACTGATATACCCCAAATTAATGCTTTACCAATTCTCTAGGTTTTCCTAATTCAGTCAAGTTGACATCTAAAATTAACCATCACAGTCTCCTTTCTTCTCTTGCCTTCTTTTGATTCCATCTTCTTTCCAGACTTTGTTTTTATTCATTTTATATTCTTTTTATGTTCTTCTTTAGTTTGTATTGTGTTTTCTATTTTCTTTCAAGGAATGGAACTTTGTTTTTGTACCTATCTGAACTGACTAAACTGTCTGTGAGACACTGTATTCATTTATAAACAGCTCAAAGCACCTCCCAAACCAATGTCCAATTGATTGTTGCTGAAATAAATTTAATTCCACATAGAAAATAATTGGATAGTATCATCCTGATTAAAACACTTCATAGTTGTGACATGAAATAACTATTCTTCTTCTTATTATTATTGGAGACAGGGTCTTCCTCTGTTGCCCAGCTTGGAGTGAGGCAGCATGATCATGGCTTGCTGCAGGCTCAACCTCCTGGGCTCAAACGATTTTTCCACCTCAGGCTCCCAAGTAGCTGGACTACAGGTGTGTGCCACTATGGACGGCCATCAGTGGTTTTTAAAAAAATTCCTGCAAACTAATTTTTCCTCACATGGATATTGTATGTTTGGTTATGTTTTGCTTATAAGAATTTTGAACTTTACACCACCCCCACCCCCTGCTTTTTTTTTTTTTTTTTTTTTTGAGAGAGAGTCTTGCTCTATCACTCAGGCTGGAGTGCAATGGTTGTATCACAGATCACTGCATCCCTGACCTCCCAAGCTCAAGCAATCCTTCCAGTGTGCGCCACCACACCTGGTTAATTTTTTTTATTTTTAGGAGAAACGAGGTCTCACTATGTTGCCCAGGCTACTATATACCCTTTGAATTCATGCATTTTTATTGCCATAAAATGCCACAAAGATCATTAAATTAAAAATGTCCACTCTTATAGAAACTATGGACCAAAGAGTAAGGTGATTTATTCAAAACTGCAAAGGTATTAAGTGACAGTATCAGAACCATGTTTTTCTTTTTCTTTTTGTATTTTTTGTTTTTGAGATGGAGTCTCACCCTGTCGCCTAGGCTGGAGTGCAGTGGCGTGATCTCGGATCAATGTAACCTCCACCTCCCAGGTTCAAGTGATTCTCCTGCCTCAGCCTCTTGAGTAGCTAGTAGTTGGGATTGCAGGTGCGTCCATGCCCAGCTAACTTTTGTATTTTCAGCAGAGATGGGGGCCTCACCATGTTGGCCAGGCTGGTCTCAAACTACTGATCTCAAGTGATCCACCTGCCTCAGCCTCCTAAAGTACTGGGATTACAGGTGTGAGCCACCACACCTGGCTACAACCATGTTTTTTAATCCAGTGTACTTGTATCATGATTTCCTCCCTTAATTTGAATTTTATATTGTATTCTATTTATAATAGTTAAATTAAAATAGCAGTTATTTCTGACAAAGCTCCATCAAAATCAATACATTGATTATCAATTTTAAAGATGCCACTGTGGGTTTTCTGTTGCTGTAACACAGGATTGGTATTTTAAGTGCCTGGTAAAGTGCAACACACCAAGTGGACATTCAGTTGAAGGCTGTTTTATGATGTATCATTTGTGCTTTTTACAATTAAAATCAAATCTAAAATGTTGACAATGATGGTTGGTATATCAACTTCACTCCTCCATTTTATAGCTCATCTTTTATTGATTTAGAACTCTGTACCTCTTTATTATATTGTAAATTTTAAAAATATGAAGACATCAGAGAGACTAAATCTTTACGTGCAAACATAATGAGGAGGATGCTGCTTATACAGAAATACACACGGTCTTTTCTCTGGGGAGATTATTACAAACCACCACTCTCGTATTTGCACATGAAAGTAGAAATCGGCAGGGCGCTGTGGCTCACGCCTATAATTCCAGCAATTTGGGAGGCCAAGGTGGGTGGATCACAAGGTCAAGAGACCGAGACCATCCTGGCCAACATGGTGATACCCCATCTCTACTAAAAAAAAAAAAAATGCAAAAATTAGCTGGGTGTGGTGGCACGTGCCTGTAATCCCAGAAAGAAAGCAGAAACCACAATGACATTAAAAGTATTTTTCCTTAAGACATGCTCACATGATATCTAGGAGGCCAACAGTAAAAACGGGAAAACTGAATTCTCTTCTAGGACATAAATACATCAAAACACTTGGTATCTTTTAGTTTTGATGAAACTAAAATTATTATCAATTTAAAATAGTTTTCTATTTGGCTGATTTTATCATTTGGGCTTTAAATTTTGAGAAAGAACATTTTCCTAAAACAAAACCGAGATTTTAAAAAATATAAAACATACACAGAAGAATGTTACACCAGGAGTCCACATCAGGAATTATACTCCTAAGGCAGGACTCTAGAGTGAATCCTAGAGATTGCATAGGTAACCTAGACATTGTAAAGCTACACCCTTATTCTGTTGGATGGCTCGTGTTGATCTGGTTATATCTTTCCACACTAATTTTCTTAACAATCATCCTTCCTAATCATTCTTTATATCCAAATAATATATATTCTGTACTATTTGCTCTGATTGTGACAGGGAAAGGTTCTTCTTAAGAACTTTGTTCTTCCATCAGAAGAAAGTATTTTAACACCTCTAGCTCATTTTTTCCTCAAATATCCCAAATATAGTAAAGCCATCTAAATTCCCAAACGCCATATACAAAACAGTACACTGTAAAACTCCAAAGACTTTGAAAGCGACAAGGCTGCCACTCATGTGTTCCTTCAGCAAGTGCCAGGCGCTGTTATGAAAGTGGTAAGATATTGTTCCAATCCTCACAGTGTCAGACAGTGAGCAGACTCAACAGTATGCGTATGATGAAACTGCCAGAAAGCGACGTCCTCAGGGCAGGAGGAGGGGATGCGGCATCTGCGCGGATGCGGCAGAGAAGCGGCCTAAGCGCTGGACCGGTGGACCGGTGGACTGGTAGACCGCGGAAAAGTGAGGAGAAAGCATCCCAGGCAGGGGTCGGCGTGGCTGGGAGAGCGCAGCGCGCACACAGTTAGAACGGGGGCAGAACCACAGGAAAAGGTGTGAGCGCGCGGGTGAAAGCGACTGGGACCTGGGTGAGCCGCGCGCAGGGAGCAGAGCTTAGTCCCGCGGGAGCCGCAAGCAGGACAATGGCGTGGGCAGGAGGACTGGAAGGACTGCTGGTAGAAGATGAGGGACATTGAGGGCAGGCAGGGCAACCAGGAGCTTGCTGCAGTCGACGAGAAGAGAAACTAGGAGATTTAAGAGTTAGTGACTTTGAAAAAAACCAAAATACTTCTGAGGTAAAACAAAACATTTAACAACCCACCCGGAAGGAGTGGAGGATGGCATACGGGTCACTAACCACAAAGCAGAGGTCTTTGAAGTAAATCATAATCAAGTTTTTGTTGTTTTAGACAGGGTCTCACTTTGTCGCCCAGGCTGGAGTGCAGTGGCGCGATTTCAGCTGACTGCAACCTCCGCAGCCCACCTCAGCCTCTAGAAGAGCTGGAACCACAGGCGCGCGCCTCCACGGCCGGCTAATTTTATTTTTTGTAGAAGGGACTACATTGCTCAAGCGACTTGCCAGCCTCGGTCTCCAAAGTGCTGTTATTACAGGCGAGAGCCACCGCGCACCTGGCCCAAATTAATTTTGCGATGTGGGATTAAGACGTGGTAAAGGCCCTAAGCTCGGCGAGTTAGCCAGGAAAGCTATCCCCTCAAGCATCTAAAAAAATGCCCAGGAGAAAGGAAGAAAGGTGCCGACTCTTCACCCCGCGGGCTGTATTTCTGATGGGCAACGCCGCCAGGTGAACACTCAATCCACTACAAACATACGGACACTTTTCAACATTAGATTACCATCAAGATAGAAGAGCACAACCCACGCAAAATCCTTCCTGTCCAGTTCCCTTAAAGCCTCTTTCATTGTCCACAGCGACGCAGCCCGTAAAGCCACCAAAGGAGCTCTGAGGCAAAAAGTCCACGCGCGGCGCATGCGCACCCCCCGCGGCGTAGGCGAAGGGCGGGAGGGAAGGACGTTTCCCAGAAGGCCCCTCCATCGCTGCTGCCCTTCCTCCCGCTCTCAGCCCTCGTGACGTGACTCCACCCACCACACTCCTCGGTCGCAAACAGCAGTTTGCCAGCGCCCCCCTGCGGTCTGGCTGGGTGCTGCGGACGTGCACGCAGGGCCAGATGAGCGAGTAGGAAGAGTGTTGCGAGTACGACCGCCGCCGTCGTCACCGCAGCGCGCCGACTGGGAGCGGAGCCGAGCGAGCGAAGGGAGGAGGAGGGAGACGCGCGGGGAGGGGAGGGCGGAGGCTAGACAAGGCGGGGTGAGCGGGAGCAGCGGTGGCGCAAGCCGCGCGGAGCAGCGCAACCTGGGTCGCTGCGGCCTCCGGACCGGGCCAGCGGAGTCAGTGTCCCAGAGACCCTGTAACCCTTCAAAGTGGACGAAGGAGTCCATGTTGGGGAACTTGGCGGCGGATTGACGGGGACCTGTAAACCTACTGTGGGGCAGCCGCCGGACCGAGCACCTCGAGTTCGGCCTGAGGTAAACACGGGCCGACCCGCGGGGTGGATGGGCTTGGGCAGCTGTCCGGGCGAGGCCGGGGTTAGAGGCCGGCGCAGAGCGCTGGAGCGGGCCTGGGGCGACGCGAGGACTGACAAAAGTTTCGGAATCTCGCGCGGCCCGGGCGGCGTAGTGCGCTGGGAGGAAAGTTAGAGCTGCCTCCCTAGGTGGGGGAGGCTGCGGCCGGGAGGGCCCCTTTCCCTCTGGCTGCCCCGCGAGGGAGGCCCGGCTCTGGGCCGCCGCCTCCGCCTCCGCCTCCTCTCTGTCGCACTCCGTCCCATTTCCTCCTTGTGGCCTACGCGCCTCCTGCCGCCTTAGCTGGCGATGCCTGTCCCCGCCCGGGTGCAGGGTCCTGCGGGGGAAGAAGGGGCTCCACGCCAGAACCGCCGCAGAAACCCTCCTCCCTGCCGTAAACGTGTCCTGCTAAGCTTCCGGGCACTCCCGACCCTGGTATCGGCTTTTCTTGGGAGACTTTGGTCGCGAGCGTCCAAGCCCGCTTGTGAAACCAAACTTTACTACGTTGTGACCTCTCAAATGCACGAATGGGGAAGAACCGGCGCTTTTCACTGGGTGCTCTGAACTACAAACTACTCTCCAACCCCCAATGTTTTAAACTCGCTGCCTGGGCTGACAACTACCGGGCTGGGAAATCTAAATTTAGCCGAATCCGTCGCCCCTCCTCAGACTTAGGAATTTTGAGTCATTAAAAAGATTTCTTACAGATGTAACATGTATTTTGAAAAATTGTTTCAAAGTAGAGGCCCAGTTTAGAGTACTTGATTTAGACATTCACAGATTCAAATGTTGAGTTTCGAAATACCCTCATTATATTTCCGTAGGGTATTACATAAGTGCCTACCAGTTGAGTGTTTTTCATTCATTTTGGATTACATTTTGGCCAACACACTACCAGTGAATTAAGATACGTAGCTAAAATGCTGAAAAATGTTTTTAATGCTTTGTGTAGTAGATGCTGATGTTACATTTTCTCCGATTTGGGAATTTCCCCCGAATTTTGGGAAATGATTGTTAATAGGTGCATTATTTTTTCATTTTAAAAGAAAAATGAATTTATACATATGACTACCTACCTCAGCAGCAGAATATCAGGGCAGTACATTTTAAAATAACGATTGGTTTTTGCATTTTATTATTGTATTAAAATTTTGATTTTAATCTCATAATCGAGACTGTTTCTAAACAATTGCTTTCTCTTTCCTGTTTCTTTGGCATTTGGCTTGAGCATCTCACTATTTTGGTTAAAAGATGGAAGAAAAAGTTTATGGGCCTTTTGTTTTTGTTGTTTCATCTGACTGGGCAAGAGAAATTAAATCTTTAAACTGTCTTTGTGTTGCTTTTGTTTTATATCCTGTCGGATAATCTGACTTTATATTTTTATGCAATGTGAGTTTTTAAGAAATAGTAGTTCTCAGGGTAGCTGCGTTTTAGCCATAATATTTTTTTGGTGCTTGCAAATATTTTAACAGTCATTCACTTTTTCACATTCAAATAGTGAACTTTTTGCCTGAGAGTTTGTGTACATTTTAAAATTTCATTGGGGTAAAATTTGAATGTTTGTTTACTGTAAGTATACTTGTGGTTTAAACACATTTTTCAATATAAAGGGGAAGAAAACTAGAAGAAAATGTAAAGTTTCTAAATATGTTGCCTAAAAAAATGTCATGGAGAAAATTTTAAGGAGAATTTTAAGGAGAACAACAGCCTTCCCCCCATCCCCTCAATATTTCCTATCTATTTGTACACCAGATTTTTCTCCATAGCCTTTATCATTTTGCAACATACCGCATAATCTACTAACTCTGTTTATTGTGTATTTTCTTCACTCTAATGTATCTTCTGTGAGATCAGCATTTGTCAGTTTTGGTCACTGTTATGCCCCTGAACACCTGAACAATGCCTTACATGTAAGTTAATGAATTAACTTGCTTTCAAGTATAAACATTACAAATAATGATTGTGGTTTGAAACTTAACGGACTAAGCAAGTCTCAGTCTGTGGCATGAAGTACCAGGTTACTTATATCCATGCACATGGGCCATGTTCATTTGAGGGGTCTGTGTTTTTTTGTTGTTTTGTTTTTGCTTTCAGATAGCATCTCACTCTGTCTCCCAGGCTAGAGTGCAGTGGTGTGATTACAGCTCTCACTATACTGCTCAGGCTGTTCTCAAACTCCTGGGCTTAAGTAATCCTCCCACCTTGGCCTCTCAAAGTGCTGGGATTACAGGAATAAACCAACACACCCAGCCTAAGGGCTCTATGTTTTTAGAGGAGTATGACGGTATGTGACCTTGAAACTATCATTTGTCTCAATATAGAAGGAACTAAGAATGCCTTAGCTAAGAATAGAGCAGTGTGTTAGTCCATTTTCAAGCTGCTGATATACCTGAGACTGGGAAGAAAAAGAAGTTTAATTGATACAGTTCCACATGGCTGGAGAGGCCTCAGAATCATGGTGGGAAGAGAAAGGCAGTTCTTGCATGGTAGTGGCAAGAGAAAATGAGGAATATGCAAAACTAGAAACCCCTATTAAAACCATCAGATCTTGTGAGACTTATTCACTACCATGAAAACAGTATGGGAGAACCACCCCCATGATTCAAATTATCTCCCACCGGGTTGCTCCCACAACATGTGGGAATTATGGGAGTACAATTCAAAATGAGATATAGATGTTGCAAGTGCTCAATAGCCACATCACTATCAACTACTATACTGGGCAATACAGATTCAGAACATTTCCATTATTAAAGAACTGATATTAAAGAACCAAACCATATCAAGCAGTATAACTATCTTATTGTTAAAAATGTAATTTAGAAGCCATATTTATTTCCTATAGTTCCAGAAGGCAGAACTAGGATTGTGGTGATGTGTATTGAAAGGGAGGAGAGAGGGAGCAAGAGATCTGGAAGAAGTAGGAGCCTTTTTCAGTAGTCTGAGAGAGATGAGGATAACTTAAATTAGGATGATGATTGTGGAGATGTGCTCAGTGGATGGGATTTGAGACCAGCAGGCCTCAGTAGATTGAAAGTGAGGGAGAAAGAAATTTCAAAGATTACTTTTGGGTTGCACTCCTGGGTTGATAGTTGTACCGGATAAGGAGCAGAGCTCTTTTTGGTTTTGACATATCAGGCTGAAGGTACCTTTGGAATTTTCAGGTAGAAATTTCTGTAAGCAATTAGATATATGATTCTAAAATTCAGAGGAGGAGTATGGGCTGGAAATGGAAAACTGGAGTCACCCATACAGGTAATTGAAACTATAGATACGGATGAAATTGCCTACGTGAGGGAATATAAGTTGGGGGGAAAAAAAGCCTAGGAGATAATCTCTAACATTTAAAAAAGTTTGCTAGAAGACTGTGAGCTTCCAGAGAATACTGTGAAGATCAGAGAAGTAGAGGGTGAATAGGTGTTACAGAAACCAAAGGAGGAGAGTGTTTGTTACAAGGAGAGAGATGTCAAGGAGAGAGAATTGGGTCAAGTGTTGATAAGAGTTGAATAAGGTAAGAATTAAAAAAATCTTTGTTGACTCTAACAATGTGAAGCTCATTGCCCTTTTGAACAAGCAGGACAGTAAGCTTCTTATTTTGAAACTGCAGCTTCTGTAATTGCTTAAAAGTATTGAGTCAAAGTTTAAGAATTTATCACCCATTTTACAGAAGACAGCTAATGTTTTTCAGGTATTTATTATATGTCAGCTACTCTGTTGTAGACATTTTACATATGTTTTCATTTGATCTTTTTAGTACCCTTGCAATGTTGAATGTCTTAGTTCATTTTACAGAGATGAGTCTGGGGCTCTGGAGAAGTTAAATGACTTGTTAAGTGTTGGAGAAGTTGCTAAGTGTCTATACCTTTCTTTTACTCTAGACTTCTCAGATGTACTTTTAGAGGTGTCTTTTTGTTGTAATTTTGACAATAAGGTAAAAGTTAATTAAGTTTTTTTTTTCTTTTTTTTTAAATATAGGTTTAGGAGTCAGTCAGACGTGGTTTTGAACTCTGGTTGTCCTGGATGACTGTCACCTTTTGTAGCTGGGTCCATCTGACTTTCAGCCTTTAGTTGTTTATTATATCAGTTCTTTAATAATGGAAAAGTTCTGAATCTGTATTGCCCAGTATAGTAGTTGATAGTGATGTGGCTATTGAGCACTTGCAACATGGGCAGTGCAGTTGAGGTACTGAATAGTGGTTATTGTATTGGATGATGCAGACATAGATCAAAAGTCATTGAGAATCTTCTAAATCATAAAGCAGGGTCTTATAAAAAGAAGAGGTGAAAATACATACTGTTCTTCATTTGAAAAGAACACTGCTTGATCTTCTGTTAGTGAATTTTATAGGTAACTGTAAAAAAAATCTTAAACTTTCAGAAAAGTCCCTAGTACAATACAAAGAACTTTTCCCCCTTGAGTCATTTGAGAGTTAGTTGTAGAATCCCACTGAAGTTCCATGTACTCTACAAAGACCTTTTTCCTCCTAAACCAGTTGAGAGTAAGTTGCAGGTACAGTCTCATCACCTCAAACAAATACAAGGACTTTCTGTTGTAAAACTACAGCATGATCACCAAAATAAGGAAATTGGCATCGTGTGGTAGCTCACACCTCTAATCCAGCACTTTGGGAGGCTGAGGCAGTAGGATCACTTGAGCCTAAGAGTTTGAGACCTGAGACCACCCTGGGCAACATAGTGAGACCTTATCTCTACAAAAAAGAAACAAAATTAGCTAGGTGTGGTAGCACCCACCCGTGGTCTCAACTACTCAGGAGGCTGAGATTGATCACTTGAGCCCAGGAGGTCAAGGCTGCAGTGAGCTAAGATTGTACCACTGCATTACAGCCTGGACAACAGAGCAAGACCCTGTCTCAAAAAAAAAAATCAAGAAATTAATCTTGCTATATTGTTAGAATCTAACCTCAGACCCCATTCAGATTTTGCCAGTTTCCATAGTAGTTTCCTTTGTAACAAAAGAATTCAGAATTCTATGTTACATTTAACTGTAATGTCTTTTTAGACTCCTTCAACCTGGAACAGTCCCTCAGTCTTGACTTTCATGACCTTGTTGGTACTCTTTAAAGCTTATAGATCAGTTCTGTTGCAAAATGTCTCAATTTGAGTTTGATACTTCTTTTTTTCATATGTAGTTTTTTTCATGTGTAGTTTTCTTTCTCTAGGATGCCAGATATTTCCTTATGGTTAGATTAAGATTGTATACTATTTGACAGTAATGATGTTGTGTTTTTCTCATTGTGTCCCATCAAATGGCATATAATTTCTGTTTGTCTCATTACTGATGATGTGCACTTTAATAACTTGATTGAAGTAGTATCACCCAAGCTTCTTCACTGTAAAGTTACTTTTGTCCCATTAGTAATTAACATGCATTTTGTGGAAAAGTA